CAGCAGCAACCCCCCCCACCCCAAAAATGCCCCCGCCGTGCCCCCTCTCCCCCATGCCCTGTCCCCGGGTGCCTGACGGGCCATGCCGTGCGGTGCGGGGCTGTGTTGTTGTAGGGATGTGTGGTGTTGTCGGTGTTGTCCTCTACGTGAACATGACATTTATGCCTTCAGCGAGCTGGGCTCGTCTCTTCTTTCCTGCTTGCAGCTGCCCCCCCCAGACCCAGGGGCTCGGGCCCCCACAGGCCGAGCCAGGCGCATGCCCCCAGCTCCCTGCTGCTGAGCTGCCCGTGGGCCAGAGCAGCTCATGCCAGGCATGGCCCGGCCTCCCTTGCGCGGCCGGAGCCGACCCCAGCTGGAGCCCAAGGGCCACCGGCCTGCAGGCAGTGGTGTTGGATGGACTGGGCCAGGCACTGGAGGGGCCCAAGTCTGTGGGGCAGCCTCGGCTATGGGCAGGGGGCACTGAGCTTGACCAGGTCCATCGATGCAGGACAGCCCGGGGCGCTGCCCAGCCTCAGGGGATCCTCAGCTCCAAGCCCAGAAGGACTGGAACATACACTCGCGCTCACACACCCCTGCACACTTACATCTGCCACTCACGAATACCTATACACATCTGCATACTTTGACATGCGCATTTGTGTGACGCTATGCACACACATTCACGCCCACACACACAGGCACAGTCCCATGCAGATTCACATGCACGCACATACGCACTCGCATGCACCCCCCCCCACACACACACACACAGCTGTTGGCAGTCCCGATTCACGGGTGATCTCCGGAGATCTGGGTTTTCTGTTTCCCACGGAAAACAAAAATGCAGATTCCCCCCCCAAGGAAAACGCAGATTTCTCCTTAACAGAGAAACCGCGGACTTTGCACCATTGCGAAGAGCTCCCTGCGGCCCAGCAGAGCTCCGGCCCAGCAGCCCGCGCAGGGAAGCTCCTTGCTGCGGTGGGCCCCACGCCGCCTGGCGAGGTGCCCCCTGCCCACCCGGAAGCAGCAAGGGGCACGACTCTGCTCCAGGGTGGGCAGTGCGGGGCTCGCCCTGGCTGCAACAGCCCCACTCGGACCGTCCCACGCAGCCCTGCTCTGTCCTGCTGCACCCAGTGCCCTGGAGGAGGGCAGCAGCGGGGAGCCAGGCCGTGCCCCCCACTTCGCTGCAGAAGCCGGGGCTCAGGCGCTGGTGCCAGGGGGCGGTAGACCCGGGTCCCTCGCCCTGGCAGCTGGGGGGGGGGGTTCCTTCAACAGAGGGGGAGGGGGGGGGGGCCCGAGA